AGAACTATTTTGAGTGTCTCAGGTTGAGCCCGTGGATAGAAGATGACGATGATTATTCCTTTTGATTACAAATGATAAACATACCCGAATAAATAAGGTTTAAGTTTTGTTAGATATTAATCTTACAATGGAGCATGAAATCATGATTTTAAAGCAGTAAGAAAGTGGTAATGATCTTTCATTGCCTTTAAGATCATAAATCTTTGTCTAACCTGCAATAATAAGAAGATGCAACACAAACAAGTGGAATTAATAAAGGTTGAAACTGAATAGCACCCATAAAAGGAAAAAGTTACAACAGAGATCATAGATTCTAGGCATGAAGAAGAAGGTGTCTATTTGAGAGGGAGGAATGTGGGAGACGAAATATGTGGGAGGGAAACAAAAACTTGAATGAAAAAAATTGAGGGAGCTCTAAAAGTTTTGAGGATCTTGCGCCAAATGGAAAATTGAATGAAATAATACATTTATTGGTACGATTATTGGAAAACCATACCAAAATCTAACAACCTAAATTTTTAAAGAAAATTTTTCACTTTTAATTAATAAAACATAACTGCATAAACCATGAACTCCCAACATAATTGTTTTCAAATCAACGATTCATTACAACTTATTCAAATCATCAGAGTGTTCCTAAACCCTAACAGTTAAAGAGAGAGATAGAGTGTATGTTGCGCCATCACACCTTGCCCTTGCCCTTGGGCTCAGATGTACCTGAAACAAATCATCAACCTGTAAGTGGAATGCTTAGTGAGTTCCCCAAATCATACCACACATTACACATTACACATATCCTGTTAGCTAATTAAAGCTACACACATATCACATAAGTCATGCATACATAAAACCTGTAATAGTGATATGGGCTACCCTACATGGTCTTTACCTAGGACTGTCTTGGGCTACCGCACATGGTCTTACATCTAATGTCATGGGCTACCCCACATGCTCTTTACCTACGATTGCTATAGGCTACCCCACATGGTCTTTGTAACATCCGGATTCCCAAGTATGATCATATGATTATTTGTTTTGAGATATGAGGAGTGACTCGATGAATTCATGCCCTAACTCGTCGAGTAGCATCGCAAATGAGGACTCAGATTAATAAGTGGACTCGACAAGTCGGCGAATGGACATGATGAGTCTGTGTTGTTGACAGATCCCTAAATCCTTGGGCATGTGCCCTATTTAAGGGTCCTTATGGCCTTCATTTGCAGCCACCCTTTCCAGAGAAAAGAACCCTAGCATATTTGAGCATGTGAAGTGAGAGAGAGAGCCATCTTGAGCCATTTGTGTGATTGTGTTAAAGAGGAGAAGTGATTCGGCAAGAAGGGCCAAAGGAGGTTGTTGTTCTGAGACTTTCAAGCAAAAAGATTGGACCTTTACGTGACTTTTGAGTGTTTATAGGTCAGATCTATAAGTTAGAGAAGCAAATCTGACCTCAAAATGTCATTTAGGAGTTGCCATGGAGGAAACTCGCCGAGTCCATGAGAGGACTCGATGAGTCAAGTAAGGTTTCCCTACGATTCGGAATCAGTGGTAACCCGTCGAGTGAAAGGTTAACTCGATGAGTCGAGTGAGGTCTTAGAAGGAATCAAAAGATGCGCATGAACTCGCCGAGCTCCATGAGTGCACTTGGCGAGTCTCGTCAAATTTGAACCGTTGACTGAGTTGACTTTCGTTGACTTTTAGGGTTTGCTCAACGATTGGGCTTTTGGGTCTTGGAGGGGTAAAATGGTCTTTTACCCTTCTGAGGAATTATAAAGGGGATTAATCTAGCTTTTGAGAGCCATTGTTAATTAGATGAAATTTTTTTATCTGATTAGGCGGAGGCTAGATCAGTGTTTGAGATTCAAGATTATCCGAGTTACCTGAGGTGATTCTTCTCATTATACATTACCTAGAGTGGTATCTATGTGCAGGCCGGATGGTCTTATGTGTATGTGTATGTTTGAGATTTATGTGCATTGTGTTATATGTATGCTATGTGTTATATAGACCGGACCGAAGGGTCCAACGATTTAGACCGGACCGGAGGGTCCAATGATTTAGACCGGACCAAAGGGTCCAACGAGCTAGACCGGACCGGAGGGTCCAACGAGCTACGGGACTGGAGGGTCCCGTAGAGACACATTGGCCGGAGGGTCATCCAAGTTCTAACCTTGAGTGGCTTATGTGATGTATGTGGTATCCTGGGGAACTCACTAAGCATTTATGCTTACCGTGTTATGTGTTTCAGGTACTAGCGAGGATTGCGGGAAGGCACTGACTTGATCTGTACACACTGGCAGGAGATTATGTTTTGAGATTCTGGGATATGTTTATTTGTGATGATATTTGATAACATGATAATTGAGAATATTATGTGATTTTATTGTGTTGAAAAATGAAAAATTGTTTTGAAAAATTACGTCGTTACAGTCTTATACCCAATGCCATGAGCTACCCCACATGGTCTTTACCTAGGACGACCATGGGCTACCTGATATGGTCTTACATCTAATGCCACGAGCTTCCCCCAGGGTCTTCATGCAAAAAACATAATCCCATCATATATATTCACAAAATGGCTAACACATATACTATAAACACATAATGGGCCGGCCTTGGTGCCTTAGACCCATGGGTATGGTCAGAAGACTCACCTCTGTCTGCTGAATACAAAAGCTGCTCTCTTAACAGTCTGAAATCTCCCCGAGTTAAATAATAATATTAGTCAATGTTAGGACCTTAGATTAGACAAAGGAAAACCCAAACTCCAAACCCATCCATGAGGCCTAATTATCCTTCCCTTGCTGTTGGGCCCGAAATCCAAGTCCACAATTACTAATGGGCATACTGGCCCAGTGAGACCCAACTAATATATCGATGGCCCATAACAGATAAGTAGCCCATAATTTGCAAAATACACCATGCCCAATAACCTAGTGAGTCACAAATAGCTCGAAGGCCGAAAACAAATTCGGCCTATCTGTACTGCGTACGCTTTGTGTACCATCCTGGTACGCGCAACGTATTGGGACTTGGGACTACTCACGGTGTACACTGGGTTACGCCCAAGGTACAAACATTTTGAGCACTTTCTCCATTAATTGATTAATAATCGTTTCCTTTACGTCCAAAAGCCAGATCTAAGTCTATAAAAATGTCCTAAGGAATAAAGTTGGCTACTTTATGCCTTTGCATGTCTCATACACACCCAACCTTTCCATTAAGACCTTTCCAAGGTCTTTAACCCATGCATGAGGCCAAATCTCCCATCAATCTTCCATTTTTATGACACTAAAGGACCAAGGGACCTCAGATCTGTCTTTCCTTATCTTCTGGAGTTGCTTAACTCACAATGGAGGTTCAAAATCAACCAAAAAGGGACAAGGTAGAAAACCCTAGCTAAATATCGATATTTAAGATGAAAGATCCAAGCTGTTTACCTCTAGAAGCTTTGCAAGATTACTATGATGTAGGATCTTTAAGCACCAACTCGTTCCAAGCTTGTATAACCACCTCTTCTTCTTGGAATGAACACTAAAAGAGTCACAATGCACTTATCCAAGCTCAAAAATGGTCTTACACAAGTTCTCTGGAGTGTAAGGACGTTCTAAGGCAATGAAGGCTCTCTAGGGCTAAGTCCAAGGGACTTAAGGTCACTTAAATAGGTCTCATGTCCAAAAATTAGGGTTTTTAACCCCTGGCACGTACACCCAGCGTACGGCTTGGTACGCCCAGCATACCTTTAGTTCCTCCGAGACCAACCAAGCGTAGTACGCTAAGTGTACACTTAAGTACACCCAACATAATTATGGGACCACTTATGCTAAAATGTAATTCTCAAGGATTTCAAGATATACCAGATTCATGGTGTTACACAAAAATATACATTTATTAGTGTAGTTTTCCAAAACCGCATAAAAAATGCATTTAATGTTACCACAGTTTTGAACAACAACATTAAAATATACATTTATCAGTGCGATTTTGGAAAACAACATCAAAAAATGCATTTATTAGTGTGTTTTAAGAAAACTGCATCAAAAAATGCATTTGTTAGTGCGGTTCCTTGATTTATTGATGCAAAAGTATTTTAATGGTGCGGTTTTATGCTACCACCTCACCAACAAAAAAAACCCTCATTGCACGAAAACATACGTTTTGTACTAGTGTTGGGATGTGGCTGGACACCAGCTAGCAAACCTTGGTAAATACCACCATGGATGTGTATAGGCTAAGCTTAGCACGACCCATGGAGGTTTTTATTATTTTTATTTTTATTTTATTTTTTATTCTTTTTTATCCAAGCCTTTATTAATATTGGACACTTAAATACTAGACATCATAAAATAGTAATATACTTTAATGTTCAATGATTTTACATAAATATGTTCAATGAATTAACAATAACAAACTAGAAAGAAGATTGTGTAAGATTTGGTTTGGTAATTATAATGTGTTTGCATCCTTTGCTAGATTCAAGAGAAATGATGAAGTATCCATCCAAAACAAGAAAAGTCAGCAGAATATCAAGATGAAAGTGAATGATGTAAAAGGTAAAGATGACCAGAAGAAGAAATCTTATGTTATGGGTGAAAGGGATGCGTAAAATCATATTAGATCCTCAATTACGCAAAGTGATGATTGGAGATAGAGAACTCACTGGCATGACATATGCTCAATCTACAATGCTTTGTGAGGTAAGAGAATCATCCTTTATTCCAAACCTAGTTAATTTGTGTAGTGAGGAGGGTTTTCCTAATGTGAAAATCCGGTAAGTTGGTGGATTGTGGGTGTGGGTATCGTTTCAATCATGTAAAGCTTGTAGAAATTTCTCTATGAACACGGGTATTTCTAATATCTTTTGCAACAATTGTCACATTGACAAATATTTTGTGATCTCGTACAGGGTTGTGTGATTGGAGATAATTGGTCTTCTATGTGTGCGTGGAACCTATGTGTATTTAAAAAAGTTGCTTCTGCTTAGGGTTCAGTGCTATTTTCAGATGATAATGAGACAAATTGCATGTCGACCGGTAAAGTATGTATTGACTGGTGTTATGACAAACATTCAAGAAGATATTCTTGTGGTGATTGAAGGAAGGGAATACCAGGTACATGTAAAGGAAATTGCTCCTTGGGAACCTGATATTGCAGATGATGGAAGTCTTTATGATGATGAGAATAAGTCGAATGATCCTTTAGAAGAAGGTTATGGAGATCACTTTGATGGTGAAACAGATTATGATAATCAAGATGAAGAAAGGAGTATAGATGAGAATGTAAATGGACATGGTGAAAAGAGCAATATTTATCAGGTGAAAAGGTTGGTTTGTTTAATGAAAAGATTTAAATGAATAGGAAAATTGTCCTATTAACAAAAGTAATACAACAAGTGTTAATAATTGTCACGAGCATGCATAATCATTGCATTTTGAATCGATTATTGCTAATAAAAATGAAAAATTGTCTCCAGGGGCTAAAGAGCATATCGAGAGCAACGATGAAAGGAGTGAAACAGGTGGTACAAAACCTTTGGGTTTTGGTGGGTAGAGATTTCAAGAACAAAAAACTAGGGATTGTCAAGGTCCCTTTCAACATTCAGGTAATGAATTTAAGCATTCATGGAGGACAGGGTCGGTGAAAATTTTGGAAAAAAAGATTCTGATAGCTGTAGTTAGTTCTTGTGATGAAGTAAGTCGGTTTATTGAGCTGGGAAAATTGTTGGGGTTTGATGTGGAAAACACAAAGGATGATTTGAAAATGATTAGTCAGTATAGATTTGATCCAATCTTTATGAATTGTTTTTCCCTTAATATTTGTGCGATTAAAACGCTTAAAAAGCATGGATGGATGAAAGAAATTTGTAACAATAACACGGTGAATTTTTTGGGGTTACAAGAAACTCGGATGACTCGTGTGGATATTTTTAAAATTCGGTATATGTGAGGTTATTCCAGGTTTGATTTTTCTTGTAGTACTGCTAAAGGGAGTTCAGGTGGTTTACTTTCCATTTGGGACCCATCAGTTTTCAAAAAGGATTGGTCCTATGTATAGAGAATGTCATTATTCTGGAAGGGACTTGGGTTATGAGGAATTTAAAATGTAGCCTTATTAATGTTTATACTCCACAACATGCTAGAAAAAAACAAGATCTTTGGGCTTATTTGATTTCAACTATGGAAAATAATACGAGGTCTTTCATTGTGTTTGGCGACTTTAATGTGGTAAGGTCTACTTCAGAGAGGCATGGATCGGTTTTTTCTAGCTCTGAAGTGTCAGATTTTAATAATTTCATTTTTCACACTACTTTGGTGGATATTCCCATTGCTGATCGGAAGTTTACTCGTATGGATAGTGTTGGGTGTAAACTAAGTCGTATGAATCAGTTTCTTATTTTAGAGGACCTTCTTGATGATGTTGTTGATTTGTGCTGCTTTTCTCTTGAGAGAAGATGCTTGGATCACTGTCCTTTGATTTTGAAAGAAGATCCTATTGATTAGGGTCCTTCTTCCTTCAAGATATTTAATTTGTGGTTAGATATGGATGGTTTTTAAGAGGTCGTACAAACCATTGTTAATGAGTCTATGCCAGAATCTCATATTAACAAGTGTTTGAATTTAAAAAATAAACTCATGTTTGTTAAAAATAGGATCAAACTGTGGCAAGCCGGTATGCATGTTGTAAAAGGTGACCAATGTAAAAATCTCATAAACCGTCTTTGTGAGATTGACAAATCGGTTGCTGATGGAATTGCCATGAATGATCTCATGAATGAGAGATTAAATACCTTACATAGGGTGACAGAAATTGAAAAGGTTGAATTTTTAGACTGTAAGCAAAAGTCTAAAGTTAAATGGAACGTTGAAGGTGATGAAAATTCTAAGTTCTTCTATGGAATGTTGAATAGATGGAGGAAAAAAATGGCGATAAGGGGGATTCTGGTTGATTGTATTTTGGTTACTAATCCTAAGCTTGTGAAAAAGAGTTTTATGATTTCTTTTAGTCAAAATTTCAACATATTCATGGCGTGAATCTTGGTACCCCAAGTTCTCTGTTTCAACAGTTCTCAGATGATAAAGTTGATGATCTTCAGTCAAACTTTTCTAAAAAGGAGGTGTGTGATGCTGTTTGGTCTTGTGGTAGCGATAGAGCACTGGGTCCAGATGGGTTTACTTTTCCATTTTTGAAGAAATTTTGGGACCTTGTTAAGAAGTACGTGTTCAACTTTATGCATGAATATTTCGAGTCAGGAGTTATGTCGCCAGGTCGTAGTTATTCGTTGATCACTTTGATTCCTAAAGTTGAAAATCTCACTGAAATCAAGTATTATAGGCAGATTAGCTTAATTGGTCTTAAATATAAAAATACTGCAAAATTACTCGCTAGCAACTTGGCAAAGGTGGTGACTTCGATTTTTAATCCAGTATATTCTGCTTTCATTAAATATAGACAAATTTTAGATGGCACTCTATTGATTTATGAGATTGTTTAGTGGGCGAATTTGAAAAAAAAAGAAAATGATGCCTTTTAAAGTGGACTTTGAAAAAACTTACGATTTGGTAGCTTGGGAGTACTTAGACAAGATTATAGAGGTGTTGGGCTTTGGGGAAAAGTGGTGTTCTTGGATTCGGGGGTGTCTAATATTGGCTAGATCTTTAGTTTTATTTAATGGGAATCCCACAAATGAGTTCCAACTACACAACCATTTGAGACAAAGTGATCCTTTGTCTCCTTGCTTGTTTATTCTGGAAATGGAAGGCTTGCATGTTTGCATGGAGGATGCTTCTCATAACTCTTTGTTTAGAGGTGTGTCTAATGGTGAACAAAACATTCAAAATATGCATGTATTTTATGCTGATAATGCGGTTTTTTTAGGTGATTGGGATGTGGAGAACATTAGGGTGCTTATTCCTATCCTTCAAGTTTTCTATATGGCTTCAGGTTTGCAAATAAATTTGCACAAATTCAAGTTATATGGAATTTGGGTGACTCTTGATGTGATAGAGCAGGTCGCCATATGTATTGCTTGTGGGGCTGGTTCGTTCCTGTTTATGTATCTCGATATACCCGTTGGCCAACAGATGGATAACAAATCGACCTGGGTGAATATTATATAGAGATTTCGTAAGAAGCTCCCAACTTGGAAATCTAGCATGCTTTCTATTGGAGGTCGTTTTATTTAATGAAATCGGTACTTGGAACTTTAGGTATCTATTATTTTTCACCTTTTCACATGCCTGTTTCAATTGGTAAAGATTTAGAGAGGATTAGATCGAGATTTTTTTGGGGTGTGGAGGATCAAAACAGGATTATTCAATGGGTTAAATGGGATGTGATGCTCAATGATAAAGAGTGTGGCGGGTTGTCTATTGGGAGTTTGAAAGTGTTTAATTATGCTTTGATGTACAAGTGGAGGTGGCGTTTTTTAAATGACCATAATCACCTTTGGGCCCAAATGATTAAAAGTTGTTATGGTGATGATGGTGGGTTTTCTTTGTCTAGATCTCACAAATCCAAATCGGGAGTTTGGTTGGGCATTATGAGGCTCGTGTGAACAAATGTCTTATTAATTTTGATGTGATGTGTAAACAAGTGGGAAATGACACTAATACAAATTTTTGGATGGACGTTTGCTACGGAGATATTATCCGTAGAGCTCGGTTTCCTCACCTGTATGCTCTTGCATATAATAAGGATGTACTTGTTAGTGATTATTGGAACGGATCAACTTAGACTTTTCATTGGATTCGAAATATTAATGGTGGGGTGCTTGGTGATCATTTAGATCAACCAAATGTCCTATTGGAGTCGATTCATTTGTGTAATAGGCGTGATTCTTGACGGTGTTCAATTAGTGCAAGTGATACGTTTGTGGTAAAGGAGGCTAGAATTAGATTGGATAACTTGAATCTCCCTTTAGGTGGTCTGGTCACTAGGTGGAATACCCTTCTTCCTATTAAAATTAACATTTTGTTTGGAGAATGCTTTTGGATAGGCTTCCTACGAGATGTAACTTGGATAGAAGAGGGATTGATCTTGAGTCATTGCTTTGTCCGTGTTGTGAAGTGGAACAAGAGGAGAGGAATCATCTGTTTTTCGAGTGTAACGTTGTACGTCTACTTTGGCTTAAAGTTGCTAAGTGGGTGGATAAGTTAATTGCTACTTTTCATGAAGTGACAAATTTTTTATATCGATTGATGGTATTCCAGCTGCTCGTTTCCAAAGGGTGATCATGGAATCAATTTGTGCTACTACTCTCATTTGGGTCTTATGAACGTATCGGAACAACCTTGTTTTTGGCAACAAGTACAAGAAAGAGTTTATGTTTGATTACGTCGTTTCTTTTTCTTATAATTGGTATTGTAATAGGAATCATAAAGCAAGGACAAATTAGAATGAGTGGATGGTTAATCCTCTCATGAACTAATTTGTTCTTTTTGGTAGCTCTTTGCTAGCCTTTTTAATACATACGACCATTCAAAAAAAATTGCACCTACGAACCTGACCAATAACAACATAGAAAAAGAAATTATTCAACTATTGAAAATAAATTAGAAATACTGGTTTAAATGAGTAACATTTCATGCATCAAAATCCTTACAAAATGAAAATTGAATTAGAAATACTGATGCAATTAGCATTGGTCTGAGGGTAGGTATGCCACCAATTAACATAAATATGAGCAACGTAAAATTATCATGTGGTAATCTTAACTGAATTCGATATTATATTAATTATAATTATAGAACTTATTTGCATAACGAAAATAATTAAAAGTAATAAAAGTTCGTTAGACACAAATAAGAATATGAAGACACATATTAGCACCATGTTTGACTTTTTTCTTGTCAATGTCTCCAAAATCAATAAATTTAATTTGATGGTTACGTGAGAACATAGACCACCATTTGTTGTAAAATTAAGAGGAACTTGAAGAGTCCACATGCTTCGCATGGGACAGAAGGTTGTTGTGGAAACCATTTCACCATTCTTTACTGGTACCATAGCTCTATCAAGCCCATTTAAGTTATGGTATAAAAATATTGTTTTGTAACTAATGTCTAGTTTTAAAATGTATAACAATTTTATAAATGAGATTAGAGATAAAAAAAACCCATTTTTCCTTGACCAAAGGTGCAGATGGTTTAGCGGCATATGTGTACCAAAATGAGAATATTTACCTATTTTGGGGTTACAAAAATATACATATATTGGTTAAAGAATAAAGTTTATTGCCGTTATCGATGAATAAATGCAATTACATTGTAATCATGGGTAAAACATACATTGCATTGCCTATATTGATCCTGGTAGGTCCATAAGATTCACCAAAATGTCAATATAAAAGTGACAACTTACTAGTTTGATGCATCTGTCTTAGGATGATATGAAGCACCCTCATGGCATCCATGGAGTAGGACGCTTGTCCTCTCAAAGCCTGGGCAATTGCCAGAATTTGTATTTTGGCTGCAAAATGCAGCTCCACTCTAAAAGTCTTCGATTGATTCGAGCACATGTTTTTTCTTGTCTGTTTTAGAGCTTCCAAGGCTTGTATTTCCATTGTTTCTGAATATCATCGTATTCATAAGAATGTTTTAAGTCATATAACACACTGTTCAATATAAAAGTGTTTGGTAATAA